TAATTTTTACATATTTTTAATTTTATTTAACCTTAGCCGATTTCTTCTTTTATCATATAACCAGCTAAGATTAGATCAAATTCTTTCACATTCAATTGCGTAGGGTATAACTGATAGTAGCTTATTTATTAACTGTATTAAATAATCCTCTTCTTCATAAAAATTTTCTTCCATAGATATTCACTAAGAAATTGGTAATTTAGTTTTATCTAATTCAATATCAAAAAAAGTTTAATGTGTATGAAATAATTTCATTTGATACATTAATTCACTTTATTTACTATTTAATTTTTCTAGTTTTTTAAAAAGTTCATTTGCAGTCAATAAGAATTCCCAAAAAATTTTTTGCATTCAGCAAATATCTCAATTAAAAAATTGGTTTAAATATTAAAAATCAAAAGAAATACTTTATTTATCTAATTAATTTTTAATTAATTTTTTTTTCAAAAAAAACTAACCTTTATAATCCAGATATAAAAAAAGTACAATAAGTATATTAGATTTACAAAATTAGTATAATGTTTATTGAATATTGCAATGCATTGACAATGAAAAATACAATAATCATTTTTAAGTAATTTGTTAATCACAATCTCAAGCTGAGCTAGTCTAATAAAATAATCTACAAGTATGCATGATTGTGATTCTAATTTTAAAATTACTTTTTATAGAATGCAATACAAATGCTAATATATATACATTATCCAAAAAGTACGAGATTGTAAAATTAATAACATTGTAACCAAAAAAAGATCTGTATATTAGACTGTAATTATAATAAAATATTGTTTTTAGTTAATGAAAAAAATTAAATGTAATATAGTATTTATATAAACATATAATAATTTTAATATTACCTTTGTTAAAGTTTTCTTATAATATTTAATAGAATCAACATAGTCAAATATAGTATGCTATTGAATATCAACTCATCGTTTTAAACTCTTTCCATTTATTTGGCAGTTTTCAGCCTCTTTTTTTTAAAGCTGAACCTATTATAAATGAAATAAATATAAAAATTTTTTTTAAATATTATAACAAAATGAAAGAAAAAATTATAAAAAAAAACTTACTTTCCTGATGACTTTTTTTAAAAAAAGGTACTATTATATTGCATTTAGTTAAAATCTGATTTGCAAAAGAAATATTACATATATCCTTAGAAATTAAATTAATTGATAAGCAATACAATGAATTTTAAGGATATTTAAATATTTATCAGAAATTATTTTATAGATATTTTGGATATTTGGTCTTATATCTATTACTATAGCTGAAAATTTATCTGGTCTAATTTTTTTAATTATTTCTTCTATTTCATTCGTTAAAAAGAGACCTATATGATATTTATCTGACAAATTTTTTAAGCACTACAAATATTCTTTATGAGAGGATATATAAATAAGAAAATTTTAAATAGATTTATTTGATGTATTAATCCACCTATTGCATGCTTTTTAAATTTTTTTAAAAAAAATAAAAAAAAAGAATAATTAGCTTATAATTAATAAGATTAAATTTAATAACTTTATTACATACATACATAATGTTAAATTCATAAAATTTTTTAACTTCCTAATAATCTGATTATTCACAACAGCTACTTCTTGATCCAAAAGATCACTAAAGAGTCTTTTTTTAGAAGGAGGTATATATCCTAAATGCAATATTTTTAAAAATTCTATATAAAATGAATTTTCAATAGTATGCTAAAGAATACCACATATTATAAATGATTTCATAAATGCCTGATCAATCTCACAGCTTTTTTCTGAAGAAAGCTTTTAGCTTTCATGATAATCTGTTATTTTCGTTTGTTCAGCAACTTCACTAAAAGTTTTTATTTTTTACTTTAATTACTTGCAGAAGTTTTTGCTCTTATAGTAAGTTAGTTTAAAAATATCTGTTTTATTTCTAATAAAACTTTTAAACAATTATTGGCAAGATGTAATTCTAAAGCTTGAGGTGAACTTTTATGCTAAAAGATATTGCAATAAAGACAAATCACTCTATAATGATCTTCTGATACTTTATTTTTTTGTTTAATATAGGTTTCCTATACAAGTGACTTGGATTTACTATCTGAACTTTTCTATAATTGTTGTATATTATCTGGTAAAATAATATCTTTACCTAATATATTAGATGATAAACAAATTACAGTTATAGTTTAATGTTAATGTGACATTTAATTAATATATACGTTAAGTGTCAATCAATACCTAATATGCATTAGCTACATCTGATAATATATATATGCAGATTTCTTTTTTAGGTTAAAAATAGGAAGATTTCAGAGGAAAGTTTTAGAAGTTTAGGCAGGTTTTGATGATTTAAATTTTTTGATTAGTACTGAAATAAATTTTGTCAGATTTCAGAAGTTTCAGCTGCTAAAAAGTTTCAGTTTAGCCTGAAATATTACTTTCTATATTTATAAATATAATTAAGATTTAATTTCTGAAAATTTAACACCTCTATCCTATTTTTGATTTTTAATTTTCTTATTCAAAATATTAATAGATAGCTATTTTTTCTTTTTTTTTAATATATTAAAAACTTATAACTTTGATATATTAAATTTTTTAATAAAATTTTTTTGGTTATATGATGAATTACCTTTTTCTCATTTATATAATGCTTTCTGTATATAATAAGCTTTTTCATTTTCTGATTCTTTTTATTTTTTTCTTTGTTTTGTTTAATAGGTGATATTTTTTTTAAAAAAAATTATATTTAATAAATAAACAAAAATGTGTTATGATAGATAAAATCTATAAATACAAATCTTATATAAAATATATTTCACAAAATATTCATTATAATGTATATAAATTATTAATATATTTTATATTTACATATTTAATATATTTATTAAATTTAATATTAAGATTTTATTATTAAATTCACTATAATAAATAGGATTTCATAAAGAATGAATTGGAAATATAAAAAAAATTTACTATTCCTTAAACTGTAAGTATAAAATTAGTTTTAAAACATTTTAGAAACTTAAAATATTTTAATATCTAATGATTATAAAAAAATAAAATAAAATTTTTAGATTTATCATATTATGATGTATTTAACAGTAATATTTTTAAACTTTTAAAATTCATAATTATCAATATATATTAATTTTTCATTTTTTTTTAATTTTTAAAAATAATTTATTATTTAATAATTATAAAAATATAAAATTTAATTTATTGGATTTATCATATTAAGATTTATTAAATAGTAGTATTTTTATATTTCTAAGATTGATAAATAGTAAGATATATAAGTTTAAAATTTAAGTTTTTTTATAATAATTTATTATTTATTTTTCTTTAAAAAATCACTAGTTAATTACATTTTTTTTTGAATTTTTACTTAGAAAACATCATAATATTTATTATAAAAGTGTTGATTTTTTAATAATATATTTTAAAATATTTATAAATAATTAAAAATAATTGTAATTAATAAATAAAATTATCTATAAATTTGTAGGTAAAACAGTTAAAGAAATAAGCTAAATTTATTTTAATAAGATTTATATAATAAGTTTTGATTATAATATATAATTAGTTAACTTTTTTATTAATAAAAAATATCTTTTATTAGAAATTTACAAATTTAATCAAATATTTTTTTTTTACTTAAATAAATATTTAAAAATAATATTTAATTTTACTTTAATTTTATTTTATTATTAATAATTAAAATTGTTATTAAAAATTAATAAATTTAATTAATTAATTAAAATTTATTTTAATTAATTAAAAATATTTAGTTAACTAATTAAAAAAGAATTAATTAATTATAAAAGAATTTTTTAATAATTAATTATAATCATTAACTTAAAAAATCAAAAAAATTTTATTTATTTAAAATTAATTAAATGATCTTTTTTTATTTAATAAATTAATATTTTATTAATTTAATTTAAATTTAAAAAAAATATTATATTTTTAATAAATAGTAAAATAAATAATTAAAAATTTATTTTAATTATATAAATTTGATGGTATTTTTTTTTTTAATTTATATTTTAATTTTTTTTTTAATTAGAGTTTTAATAATATAATATATATTAAAAATATATTCAAATAAATTATATTTAAATCTTTTAATTATATAAAGTGTTTATAAGCATTTTTTATATACAGTAATTATATATTTTTACATAAGAAAATATTAGAATTAAATTGATAATTATAAGTTTTTTTTATATTCTTTTATTTTACTAATTTTATAAATACAAAAAAATTTTAAACAAAATAATAAATATTTAAGTAATATTATTTAATAAATAATTAATTTACATAAATTAATATTAAAATTAATTTATTCTTTTTTTTTTTTTTTTTTTTTCTATTTTTATTTTAAATTCTTAGATAATATATATAGATTAACTTTTATAAAAAAAAAAATACTATAAAATTATTTTTTATTTTTATTAAATTCTGAAAATAAATCATATTTAGCATATAATAACTTTATTTTCAAATTATTTAATTAATAAAATTAATATTAAATTTTGGATTTAATACTTCGGTTTAGTAATCATTTAAGAAATGATTTAATTGGCTAAAACAAATCATTCATTTTTTTTATCATCCCATAATTTTACTTCATCTTTCCAACAGAACAAACTTGGGATCATGACAATTACAAATGAATTCTTTATCGTCATTAATTTGTTCTTTAAGGATGGCTTTGGTTTAAGTTTATTATTTTTCATCGAAATCATTGGCTTTTTTATAGAGAACATATAACGAAAAGAGGAACAAGTTGGGTGAATTTGACTAATTTTCCAAATGATTTTTTACCTTACAGTTCTCTCGACATTTATCATATTATTTATGTCATCTATTTATTCGATTAAATAACGACTGTAACATTGCTTATAATATATAATATAATAATTTCATTAAATTGGTTTATTAAGTGAAAAAAAAGATTAATTATTTTTTATTATTATTAATGTTATTAATGTTAGCAAAGGATGTTATTATTTATTTAACTTCCATATTTTCATCATCTTTACTCATTTTTGCTAATACGTCATTATTATCATCTCTTACTTCCGAAATAACCTTGAAGATTTCACCTCTTTCCTCACAAACTTCAGAGGTGCCAATCTTCGCGAACGCTTCTTCACTACGATCCATAAGACGAATTAAATCTGCTTCCGGAATTATTTCATCGCCATGTTCAGCTAATTGTACTTTTTCATTATCCTCTGCGGCAAGTGTTTCCGCTAATTCCCTTAAAGTAGCAACGGTAACTTCTCTTGAAGTGGGAAGCTTGAATTTTCCTTTGTGGATAACAAGTTTCTCCAACTTTCGCTTTGCGGAAGCCTTTTCTATGATCTTAGTTTCAACCGTATTTGCAGTAACCAATCTATAAATTATAACTGGTTTTGTTTGGCCGATACGATGAACACGGTCTTGCGCTTGTAAATCCATTTGGGGATTCTATATACGTATTTATTTAAAAAAAAATGCATTAAATAAAAACAAATGATTTTGTAAGACTAAGTGCTAATTATTTCATATGAACTTACCCAATCACTATCATATATGATGACTGTATCCGCTGCGGTCAAGTTAATGCCTAAACCACCAGCTCGCGTGGATAAAATGAACAGTCTGATATCTGAGTTCGTATTGAAATCTTGAATCTAATATGAAATGGCAAAAAAAAAAAATTACTCTTGATACGTTTCAATGTCTTTAAATATCGTTAAAATTAGTACCTGTTGTCGCCTATTTTCTTGGCTTACACCACCGTCAATTCTGCAAATTTGCCATTTCTTGAAAGTTGTTGCCCAGTCTTCAATGATATCAAGCATTGTTGTAAATTGGGAAAATATTAATACTTTATGATCGCGTTCAAATAGCTCATGAAGCAATTTTTCCAAAAGCATCATTTTCCCAGAGCTGGCTATCAATTCCTCAGAAATTAAATATTGTTCTGTTTCTGGATCAATAGGCCAGTCGAAAAGATATGGATGATTACAGATTTTGCGTAATTGCATCACAACGTTTTGTAGTTTCATTCCATTGATAGTCTTAACTAAATTAAATGAATATGTAATAAAGCAACGAATGAAATTAATAATATAATTATTTTTAGAAAATTGAACCGATAACATAAAAAGGTTTACTTACCAGCTTTCATGGTCTTTGATTCCTTTTCGGCGTTAGCAGCCATTCTCGCTGCTTCCGCCTCATCAACTTGAGAGGAGAGCTCTTCCTCTTCTTCCAGAGCGTTGAAAAATTCGGTATCGGTAATTTCTTTATAAGATTGATGCCTTCTTCCGCGGAGGCCTTTCTTACGTTTTCGAGACGAATTAGATTCCGAATCCTCTCCTTCTTCGGATGAGTCTATCGTTGTTTCACTTCCTAAATATACGCATAATTATGAGAATGCATAGAATCAAATGAAATTTTCATAATTCAAAACTTACTACTATCATTTTCTATAATTCCCATTTCGTTTTCAACCTCTTCCACCTTCTTAGCTAATAGGAATGGACGAATGTTTCGAGACACTATAGCATCATATACTTCCTTTTGTTGTCTCGATAAAGGAGCGTATAAAAGATATTCTTTCTTCTTGGGAAGAGAATTTTCCACTATGAATAAAAATATTTTTTTAAGTTTTAATGGGTTTGAAACTCTTTTTACCAATTAAGGAGATGGGATATTAAAGTTATATTTACCATCACTCTTTATACGACGCAACAAAAATGGTTTTAAAATTTTGTGTAAATTAGTAATAACTTCATTTGACTGCTCCCTAGCAAGGATACGTGATTCTCCATCTTGTTCGTGAAGCGCAGAGAAATCAAACCTATAGTAATAATATGCATAACTTTCAATAATCAACATTATAATTTTTCAAACGTTACCATAACTGTGTTTTAATTACCAATCCTGAAAACTATCAAGATCATCAAATATATCAGGCAAAAGAAAGTTCAAAAGACTCCATAATTCTGCCAAATTGTTCTGAATATTAAAGATATGTGTTTATAAGGATCCCTTCTTTTAAGGAAAAAAAATAAAAAGTTCAACCCAAAAAGTACATACTTGTAGTGGTGTCCCAGTCAATAGTAAACGATTTGCAGAATGATAACTCTTCAATTCCCGAATCAATTTGCAGTTAAGGTTTTTAATACGATGACCTTCGTCCACTACAATATACTTCCACGAGAATTTCTGCATTCGACATAGTTTTTTTTTGTCTTTAGTTAGTAACATGTTTGACAATTGAACGAGGAAAATTTATAAAAGATCATAATAACCTGAAGGTATTTGCGATCATTCATCACAATTTCATAACTTGTAACTATAACGGGAAATGTGTGATCCAACTTTTTGAGTCTTCGCGTTCTAATATGAGACCGCTGTTCCGGTGTTCCATGATACAACACAACAGGTAATGTAGGAGTGAACCTGATTACGTTGAAAATCAATTAACGAAATTGTTGTAATAGCTAAAGATGGATAAGATAAAATTATAAAGAATTACCTATGAAATTCGCTGACCCAATTGGCCAGTGTCGAAAGTGGTGCAACAATCAAAAACGGACCAAAAATTTGGCGTTCCCAGAGGTATGCAAAGAAAGCAATGGTTTGCAAAGTCTACAAGATGATTTATGAGAGCGTGTTTTTTTTTTAAAAAAAAAGAATAACCCGAGTTTAAATATTTTAATAAATTTTGAGAGTATTTTGACAATAACTAACCTTTCCCAAACCCATTTCGTCAGCCAAAATACCATTCAATCCATTGTCATACAAACTAACTAGCCATTCGACGCCGATTAACTGATAATCACGAAGGACGCCACCCGTAACTAACCTTGGTTGACGAGCGGGTATGTCAAACTTTTTGGAATCGTCATCTGGTTTAATGTCAGTAGAAGAAATCTCTTCTTCGTTTTCAACATGTTCTTCTATACTAGAAGAAATCACAGGCGTTGACTGTGATTCTGAACTTTTACGCCGTTTAGAAAGTTCCTAAGTTATTTGGAAAGTATTTAATCATTATAGGTTCTTTCGACTATCTTGATTCTAAATTAAAAACTTTTTCAAAATTTCAAGGCTTACATTGTTTTCCACGTAATCCGCAATGCTATAATCGGCATCATTGGCCTTTCTTTTTTTGGTAGTGCCCGTTTTCTTCTTTGCAGTTTGTTTAGTAGCCGGTGATGTGGATTTTACATTTACCCTAGTTGATTTTCGTGTGGGACCCGCAGAAATTTTTTCCTGTTTAACTTTTAACTTTTCTTTGGCGTTAGCGCGTTTTACTTCTTCGGCTTGAGCACGTTCACGTTGTTCTTGTTGTTGTCGTTCCATTTTATTGGCGAGAAATTGAGCATAAAGGGATGATTTCTCCAAAAGGAACTTGAGTCGTTGCACGCGTTGTTTATCCACAAGTGCATCATAATCAGCTACAGCCTAGGTATGTGAATTTTGATCAGTTTGTGAAAAAAAGATTTTTTTTTTTTTTCCTTTTTCCCCAAAGATTGCCCATTATAATAATATGATATTGATTAATCAAATTTTTTGTCATTAATGAAAGAAAATCCTCAAGTACGTAAGATTAATGCATATATTAATATAATCTAATCTATATATCAATTTATACCATTTAGATCAAATGATTACAAAAAGAATGTGACTAAACTATTTCAAGAAAAAAAAAGAAAAAAAAATTTTTTTTGGATCGTGTGGCTTAGGCACAAGGCTAGACGCGTCTTTTTTTAACTACCTTTTCCTTAAGCACTTTCAAGTTTTCTTTCTCGGTTTCAGTATGCAGCTTTCCTTCTTCTTCTTTCATGGACTCGGTGATGATTTGCTCATCAGAAGGTGTATTTACAGAGGAGTCATTACTCATAAAAGACGGAGAGTCCTATAATAAAAAAAAAAAAAGAATGCAAAAAACGTGTCAAGTCTCACTTTTGCCGTTACTTTGACCGGATAACAGTATTTTTATTTTTTTTTCATATATGGTGAAAGTCAATGTAGTCACAAGACGCGACAAAAACTGACATTATAAAGGACGCGTTTTCTTACTTTATCAAGCGGTGGAGTTGAAACTTCAGCAGCAAAGTTATTGCTTCTCATAATATTTACTTCTTCTTTAACTAGAGACATTATGAACTCAAAAAAAGTGACTGAAAAAAAAGAGAAAAAAAAAGTTTTTTTTTATTCTAAATTAAAATAAACACAAAACACAGGCGCGTCAATGAGTTCAAAAGAAGGAAATTGAAATAATTTTTTATGGGGGAATAATCAAACAATTTTTATATTGATCTAAATTTTCATTTTAACAATAAAATTGTACCGAATTACTTTCTAATTTCCTTTTCAAGAATGAAGTCACGTTAATAAGCTTTGATTAATAATAATTACTTCTTTGAATCGTGAGACGTAAGACTATGCTATGCGCATGGCTTAGCACTCTTTATATCATTAGATCTCAAGTAACAAATAGTCCTTTGTACGAGGGATTGATGCGCTCTTTGAATAAAATAAACTTCTATGAATTACTAATAAAAATTAATTATCCGAAGTTGGGAAGTGGAAAAAAAAAAAAAATCGTTGATCGGATTTTTTAGAAAAAAAGGTTATTAAATACCTCAAATGAAATGAAATCGAATTAATAATCAATACTATCCAACGAAAACACAATTCAGCCATTTACAGTGATTGTCAAACTTTATTATTAAGTAAGGTATATTAAAAAAAAACCATCGTGAGACTTTTTATGTACAAGGAAAATTAAAAAACGAGGGATTTGTTTATACGAAAAAATATAAATTAATAAAGAAAAGGTTAATGAGGGAATCTATTTATATTGTGATTACATTATCCTTTCATTTATTAAGATATATAGGGATGAATAAAGTAATAATAAAAAATTATAAAGGATTTAGGATTTGAGAATTTCTTTGTATAATAATTAAGGTGTTAAAACGGAACATTTTGTTTTAAAATTGTCTTGATATGGATTGTTAAAATTTCTTTTTCGTCTAATAAAAGATGACTGTGGTTTGATGCGTCGTGTAACGTACGTGATATTTTATCAATAAACCGTCAAAATGCACGTGAAAATTTTTTATTTTTAAATTAAATAATTTAGGTAAATAATACTTTTGTTATAATTCAGGAGGTAAAGGAGGAGTTCTAGCAAATTTAGGGTTGAATTCGTCGAATTCTTTAACCATTTCGTTAGTAATATTCTTTAAACCTTCTTCAGATGCAAAGCGTGGAGGTGTCTTCTCCCATAAACCTTCCAAGTTACGATATTTTCTTGCCTCGGGAGTAAAAAGATGAACAAAAATTGATCCGGTATCTATTAACATCCAATCTTCTGAATCACGTCCTTCGACAACTGGATAACTTTGTGATGAAGAATTTGTTGGATCGGAATTTTGTATATGTGTTTCATCTTTTAACTAAAGAAAAAGAAAAAGATATTGCTTAGAGATGATTCCCCTTTAGCGAAAATCCCTCCAAAGAATTTTATTTGATACTTGCCATTTTATAAAGTCCATCCACTGCCCCACCTAAATGTCGGGTGGTTTTTCCTTCACCTATAACCATCCAATCAGTGAAATCACATTTTTGCTTCACATCAATCGCTGTTATATTTTCAATTCCTTCTTCCTCTAAAAACCTTATAATATCCAAAAATTTCGTTCGTTGATGCTCATCACCTTCCATTAACTTATACTTATTTACATTAGAAGATTCATCAAAAAGAGAAGTTGCTTTTCTTTGCCATAACGGTACGAAATCTCTGCTTTCTTCTTGTGGATTTTCATAAGCTGGGTCAACAAACCACGCATCATCCGCATCATTATGTTCTTTCTCTTCTTCATCTGATAACTCATACGATATTGCTTCTGGAAATAGTTCAGGATATAATGATTTATCTATTTCTTCAACTTCCTCCTTTTCTATTTCTTCTTTAGTAACTTTATTGTTCGGTAATATTTGTGTAGAAAAATAAACTTGCCTTATATTTGGTTTTAAAAATATGTTTGAATGGGAGGATAAATAATTTATTGGTCTTTTATAATAAAGTTTTTTCGAAAATTTTGTAAACGCTAATCTTCGTACATAATTGAAGTTCATAATTAAAAAAGTTATTTCGTAAAAAAAAAAGGTATTCAACGATTTGATAATCATCAAATTTACTGATGGGTGGCTTAGCGGTTATTTTTTGACAATCAAACGTATTTCAATATTAATAAAAAAAAATTTCCCTTTAATTCTTAAAGAAATGGCAGCCATTCTATCAAGTGCAATATTTCGTCGTCAAAATTCTCGATACATTAGCTTATATAATGATGCTTTAATCTCTACAAATTCCACACCACTTTCAACCTATATGCAAACGTTTTGGAGAGATTCTCAAAGAAAAGCCGGTACTTTATTTGGCTTGGCTCAAATATTAGGACCTATTTTATGGGCTGTTCCAAAGAAAAAAACTTCACATTCAAAAAAGAGAATGCGTTCTGCCAATAAAGGATTGAAAGATAAAACAAACATAGTCGACTGTCTTGGTTGTGGTCAAAAACACTTGGTACATCATTTATGTCATAATTGTTATAAAGATTTTAAGTATAGAGAAAAGATGGAAAGGGATGGCTTGTCATTTTATTGAGAAATAAAACTACTTTTTGATTTCTTGATAAAATTCATTGAAATCAAGTCGAACACTAAGAAATCTCAAATCTGTATCGTGATGACGTGATAATGTCGTCAGTAAATTTACCAATTCTCCCTAATGTCATAAAAAAAATTAGTGAAAATCGGGTTTGAAATTATTCGAGAATAAAGTTTGATATGTATTTACTTTGAATAATCCAGCAACTTCTTCTAAACGTTCCTGGATCGGTTTGAAGTTTTCTCTTGTATTTATACTTGAGGATTTATTTAAGATACTAGCGGAATATCCCCGAATTTTCTC